TAGGGTTTAATGGCCACATAAAGGGAAAACTATAAAAACTAGGAAAATCGAAGATCTGGAGTAACACCACATTCATAATCAATACTACTCCGGCACCGTGGTGTTCGCCTGTATCGCTCACCGCTAGATGGCGCTAGCACTAGCAAGCGGTGTCCAGATTTTTTTCCTTTCTAGAGAAAGTCGTCGATTAAGTTGAATGTTGTGTAATTTGCATTTCGTTGATTTCGTTTATTATACTGTAAGGTTCGCTTAGGTTATGTTATAATTAAAAACAATCTGATTCGTTGTCCATTTTAAAGGTCGTTGAGTTTATTTGTGTTTAATATCGTAAAAAAATGTTGATAAACGACGACGTTAAATAATTTTGCCACGTTCCACAAAAAGAAGTGAAATCCCACCAAAAACATTCTGTAAAAAACTAGCCAAGTCTCGATGGAGCTGCTTGTTTATCTCTAAAAAGTAATGAAATCTAGACAAAGTCGTGCCAAGTCTATGGTTCCTTACTGCGATTTCTTTATTATTATAGTTAATGTTGTGTGACTTGGCCGTTGAACAATCTTTATTAAGATAATCATACATAAGTATTATTGAAATACGCAGCTTTATTAAACCTACAATTGAATGGTTATTGTTGAATCAATGTTTTCCAAGTGGCAATTTTCCATCGTCAATGGGTAGCGGTTCTGGCGGCAGATTGGTGCAATAGTATCATGGAGCACCTGGTTTTGTACCCTTCAACGGCCAAGTCACACAACATTAATTATAATATTAAAGAAATCGCAGTAAGGAACCATAGACTTGGCACGACTTTGTCTAGATTTCATTACTTTTTAGAGATAAACAAGCAGCTCCATCGAGACTTGGCTAGTTTTTTACAGAATGTTTTTAGTGGGATTTAGTATTCGATTCAGTGCACATAATTTGGTTATTTTTATAAGAAAATACAGAAAATGTTATCAACAGTATTGAAACCCTAGCCACTAGAATGTAACAAACATGCTACGGATTCGCTACGAAGACTACGAGGATACAAACTACGACTGAACTATGCTACGAAACGCTACAACGGTACACTGTTGATCTGATACGAGTAGCAGACATACATTATTAGTAGACTAGGTAGACCCACAGAATAATAATAAGTACTACGTACAGAAGTTTTACTCAGCGAAGGTATTTAAAAAAATGTATGCTCAATGTCATTAACAATATGGTGTAATTTAGCTTGTCTCAAGAGTCAAGCACCATTTTGTTGACAAACATCAGTGATCGGTACTGCGCCGAAGCTATAGGGCCTGGTCAGCCGTTTGGTGTAGTGGTTCGAAACGGGTTACTATTCCGGAGGTAGCGGGTTCGATTCCCGCACAGTACAAACATTTGTGTGCATGAACATATTTGTTTGTATTGGACTGGGTGTTTTCTATGTATAATAAGTATGTATTTACAAAAAAAAAGTATTTATGTATGTTTATATCCGTTGTCTAGTACCCATAGTACAAGCTTTGCTTAGTTTGGGACTAGAAGCGCAGTGTAAAATGTCTAAGGATATTTATTTATTATTATTTATTTAAGGATATTATAGCTTGTCTCAAGAGTCAAGCACCATTTTGTTGACAAACATCAGTGATCGGTACTGCGCCGAAGCTATAGGGCTGACTTCGGTAAAATGATTGTGAAAATGATGTGACGTGAGGTGCCAAACTGCAAAAAATGGCGGAGGAAATACATGATTTAGCATGAATTATCATGAATAATATTAACTACTTATTTAGCTCTCAGTGTCTTCAGACAACTTAAAAAAGTACATTCTGTATTTTTATTATTATTTAGCCAGTTAAATACTGCACAGTATTTAGTACACCATTTTCTTTATTTTTTCCATTATACACAAGAATACGCGTGCGTGAGTCAATGTTCACTCGTATGTAAGGTCTTGTCGAATAGTAATCCTGTAGGGTGCCATCGTGTGTGTTTTGTTTTCGATGTAAACTCGCGGAGATGAACAGGCCTGGTAGACCTCAGTATTCTAGGTTATTCACCAGTTAAAATCTTGTTCAAGAAGATAGAGAATGAAATTGTAACACCCATGCTACGGATTTGCTACGAACACTACGAGGATAGAAAAGCTACGAGTATACTACGCCGATATAGATCGTTTCATCTACGAAGACGCGCCCCACTAATTATTGGTCAAGGGGAGGCGCGGGGTGCGGGGAGTTTGATCCGAGAAATCTGAGCGTCATTATTGTAGTGTGCGTGTGCACTCATGGATAATTTAGCGTGTACCGATAACAGTCAAACATTAGCGGAACAATGGTGGGGCGCGTCTTCGTAGATGAAACGATCTATATTACTCTGGTGATCTGGTATACGCAGCGGTTATAAATATGTATACTTTATCGGGCTAACTTTTATTTTACACGGACTTTCATAGGCTTTACAAATTCTTCTGATAATAATTATTCTACATTGAACATATCAAAACAACACACATGCCTTCCCAACCCAGAATGCCCATTGAAAAATATTCACGAATCCTATAACTATAGAATTTCCCCAACACTAAGCCTCGGGGTACAAGATCCCAAAGGAATAAAGCGATGATTGACAACAACTTTTGAGCAGAACCTGGCTTCGGCATATTAAAAATATGCCACAAACTGAGTTGGGCTCTATTTACAGGAATATTGTGATGAAATTTTATCAGCTTCTTTTTTCACCTAACATTGGCATGATAATAACGCGCCCGTATTCACAAACGATGCTTGCTTAAGTGAAACAACAAATCGAATGCACAGCGTTAAATAGAGCTCTGTGATTGGTTCGTGTGTGACAATGGGCGTCCACGCGCACTGTGAGACCTCATAGTAATGTTTGTCAATACGGGCGTAAGGACTCTTTCCTTCGCCATCCAGTTTAGCGGAATCCAGTAATGAACGAACGAATTACAAATTCGAACGGTTTTTTGCGTGACACTGCAAACGGGATGTGCGTGTGAACGTTAATATTAAAACACTACAAAACGGGATCCTACAAAAAGTAGTTCCTGCAAAAAAGGGGATGTCTCTGTGGGAACAAGTCCAAGGGGTGATGATACAAACAGATTGGATGATAAAAATACATTATAATTTGCGGTATACTGATCGCCTGTCGAATAAAACCTAAATATTCGGGACTATTCCCACCTCTCGCTCCCACCACTGCAACTCCTGTGTAGTAATAAAACCTAAATAAAGGTGTAAACTCTTTAAAATTTGATAACCGATTTATGTGAATCCGCCTTTAGCTTTTCATTATTTTAATGGAATCACTTGAGAGGCGGAATGAATATTTTTAATGTGCCGACAAATATTGTGATTAAACTGCAAACATTTTATCACAGTCTAAAAAGCACTATACAGTTTGAGTCTTGATAAAGTGCACAAATTTAAATAGGTGACCAATTTTTATCGACGGAAAAAATGACTAAATATTATGTCTGTGATTTAAAAAAAAAAATTTTTCTTTTAATTACAAATCTAGAGCCACTTTCAGCTTCGTTGTTAACGAAGCGAACGAATGGCGCGCCCAGAGCGACTTAGTTTAAACGCTCATTGCAAAAGTTGGGATTGGGATTAGAGACATGACATTAGAAATGTTTTTTTTTTTCCGTCGATAAAAATTGGTCTAGTTTCACCTATTTTACTATGTGCACTTTATCAAGACTCACACTGTATTTTAGATCCCGTAAGTGTTAGTTTGAACCATTTAAAATTGTTTATATAATCACTAGCTATTTCGCTACGCTCACTTGACTCGTTTATACGAGAATGTCCCTTACCTTGGAATTTCCCTAATGCTTGGAAACTTCGCATTTTCTTTCACTAAACGGTGGTCTCTCCGAAGACTATTTGTTAAGCGTATCAGTGACATTACATTTTATCTTTTACACTAGAGCTGTTTGAATAAGGTGTCCTGATTCTTTGAAGTGAATGGAGAAAATAGTTCATTAACAAAGACGATGAAAGTAGTGAAGAGAGTTTTAAAAGAGATTACTAACTTTAAGATCGCATCTTACGTGAAACATAAATTTTATTACAAATTGACGGTTGTCAATACGGATGTAAAATAAACATTTTAAATAACCATTTAAGACCCATAAAATAAGTTCAAACCAGAGTTTATACTTCTTCTGTTTCACTATTTACAAACGTAAAAACTACTCAATTAATTTTTAATTTAAGGCAATGACATTAAAATCATAATTCATTTTTACAAATTGAGATTGAATCTATCAAAAATACAAAAAAAGAAAATATTCGCCTGTTTTATTAGGGAAAAATGCATTGAAATGTATGCTTACTGTCAGGGACAGGGCACTGCGCCTCATCAAATGCCAGTCCACCTAAATAACCCTGTGGCCTAATTCACGTATTTTGACAGTCAAGACCTCGCTGACGTTCAGAAGTCGTCGCATTAAAAAACAGTTCTAAATCCGTATTCACAAGGGTCATTTTGATAGAACGATTACTCGATAGGATCGCAACTCAGTGTTTTGTTGTCGTTGAAGTTTTGTTACGTGAATAAGGCTACTGGAGTAGGGTAAACTTTTGGAACCCGTGCAAGCCTCCTAACCACAGAAATATAACTACTGCATGGTTTGTAAGGCCATACATTTATCTAAGTAGAGTTGAAGTTAGTTGAAGTAGAGTTGAAGAACACGTCGAGAAGAAAAGATCTCCAAGGTGTAAAGTTTATATTGTAGTGAAATACTGACAGAGTTATTGTGACAAATCTTTTCTTGAGTAGTAGTGTTACGTAGGATGGTTGTTGACGTACTGAGTTACTCGTATAATAAAGAAAAATACTTAAAATAGTAACTAACCCGCGCCCAAAAAGTGGGACGCAAACGTAAGCGTAAAAGTAAGTGCAATGTACGATGGCTTGCCCGTACAACTACTTTCCTGATCTAAGGCACCTTAATTATAAAGAGTCTAACCTCAACTTTTCTTCTCCCACAGGTGATATCAGCTATATCGGTCTTCTTCATATGCGTGTCAGTGCTCTCCTTCTGCCTGAAGACCCACCCTGACCTTCGGGTGGTGTACCCAGCCACCTTCAACTCCTCAGAGCCGGAGAACACGTCTGTCCTGGTGCTGAGACCGTGGCATGACAACGGGCAACCCCACGTGGCGTTCTTTTACATTGAGCTGGTGTGCAACGTGTGGTTCACTATTGAACTGCTGGTGCGGTCTGTGGTAAGTTATTTATCATCTTTGATTGTTGATTGCTTAAGTTGGTGGTCGTTCTTTACACGTATCTGGAACCTTGACGTCCGAAGTTATACATACTTCTTATGTAGGTACCTACTTAAAAAAGATTACGTACTTTAATAAGTCATTTAACAAGCTTAGGTGAAGAAATTGTTCACGTTAAGGAGTTTAAGGTACTCAACGCAAATGGTCCTTAATTTTGAAAAACTTTTAATTTTTTTACCAATATTGCAGATTGCAGAGAGCGTTTATATCATGAATCATGACATTATTAAGTTTTGATATAAACAAGAATATTTAACCGTTATCCGTCAGATCAGCTGATAGAAAACCCTACGAGTGAAAGCAAGAAAAGTTCATCAATTCGCTCTAAACAAAGCAACAGTTATTATTTAATTACTCGCCGTAACCAGAAGTTTACATAACCCGGTATTATTTAAAACAAAAGTTAGCGTCATTGAAAGTGACACGTCTGCTGACGGCCAAGCTCTTTATACACATACAAAAGTGTCTGTCTGTCTGTGAGGGATGTCGAGTGCACTGCAGAACAATAAGTTTGAAAACACAGGGACAGAGATTGTGTGCAGACCCGTCGAGTAGAAAACGTTCTACTTTGTAGTTGATTAACACATTCACATAGTGTTATATGGTGTGGTGTACTACTACACAAATAAAGAGTGTGCGCTATGGCAACACTGACTAGTACAGCGCGGTGGGGGGTCAGTCGTAGTCGGGCCGCCACACAGGACGGACGTCAGTGCTTGCACTAGCTTACACAGTGAACATATACCAGTGTTTTATTTAAGATCACAGATAGCCATCTGTGGTGTCTTAAATAAAACACTAAACAACATAGCCATGTTATTTAGCAGTACATTGACGCATTTATTAAATCCAATCTTTGTAAATTCTAAGGTCTAAAGTGTCTACAAAAAAATCTTTAGCGAGTATTATTTAGGTATAATAAAATTTATTTGAATAATGAATCAATATTTTTATTTATGTTTTACTATTTGTGTTATTTTCATTATAAAGGAAAGTGTTCCGAAAGTTTGGAGTTTCACAAGAATTCTTGGAATATAATCTCAAATCAATAAGTTAATTTTAAACATTCAAAGTTATACAAGGTGTCTATTTTTTAGGGATAGTACATTAGTAGAGCTACCTCCCCTATCAGTTTGATGCAGACATTTTGTAATCTACCTACGAGTAAAGACCAAAATTCATCAAATAAATGGATCAGCATTGTAGCCATTAATTACTTAAAACGAAAAGTCTGACTCATTGTAGTACCTAATACAAAATTCTCCTTATTATTCAAGTATACTCTACTTAATATCTAGCCAGATAATCTTAGGATTAATGTCTCTAAAAGCCCCAATTGCGAAATACCAAAACATTTATCTTGATATCTTACAGAACGTTTTATGTAACGAGCCCATAGTATTACCTTGTCTTGTAACGAACGAAATAGGCTTTACTTTGTAGCCACGCTGATTCGAAATAACGAGGCAACGTAAAAGCTTTTGACGTATCTTGTTAGATCAAGAAATGTACGAACGACAGCGCATAATGGTTAATACTGTATTTTGTAATTAGGGCTATTTTGCAACGAAAATTTAAAAATTTGGCGTGCTTTCTACAGTAATAAATAATTGAGTAAGCTTCATACTACAAGCTTAAAGATTATTGAGGATTTTGCCTGGAAAAAGTTTATAGAATTTAGTGTTAAAGATACAGCACTTATAAATAGCCCATACTAGTGCCTTGAATTAAATGGTACATAAATGCATTTATGATACTCGTATTTATCTGTTTAAACGGAGAAAACTTGAATAACAGCTTTCTTAAAAACTTACTTTAATGCCATATGTTAAAAAAATATTTCTAAATTTTTGTAATGTATGTAATGTTCATAGTAAATTAATCACATTTAGTAAAAATTCTTTTGTATAAAGATTGAGATTACAATTAATTACCTTACAATGGTTTCGTACATCGAAACAAATAATTTGAGTGCCAATTCAGCAACAGCGCACATTGAGAGGAAAACGCGGCGACAGACGCGGCCACAAAACGCATGCGCGCGTCATTTCATATTAATAGCTTGTTGACGTGACATGTCGCGGAGTCGCAACGACAGCTAATATATTCTTTGCACAATATGCGCTGTCGCTTATTTTTGAGACGTTGCTCTACATCCTATCCGCCCGTATGTTTACAAGCACATACCTAATGACTACCGAACAATGCGCCCAAATGGAATTCCTAACGCGCATGTTTCCAGTTTGGAACTCCCACTAGATATACAGGGTGGTCAGTAAATACATTTTACATCTAACTTCCAAGAGTGGCTGACAGTTTGCTGACGGTGTAAACCGCTTTGTCAAGTATGTGTCAGTTAGCACGGTCTTGTGAAAGTTTTTATACTCTTTGCCTTTTTAGCTTCCTAAATCTATCTATGCTTATAATAAATCTGTAGAGAGGTCAATTCTGTACATGAAATATATTTTCAAAATAACTATCAGGGGGTGATTAGTGATCGATACTGATGCCAAAAATGCAATCAGTAAAATTTTTGTCTGTCTGTCTGTCTGTCTGTCTGTCTGTCTGTATGTTCCTTATAGAAACAAAAACTACTCGACGGATTTTAACGAAACTTGGTACAATTATTCTTTATACTCCTGGGCAGGTTATAGGATACTTTGGAATTCCCACGGGAACGGGCATTAGCGGGAAAATCCTTTTGTATGAAAAATCTAAACCGCTTAAGTTAGACGATTGAAATTTGGCATGCAGGTCCCTTATTAAACTTAAAGCTTAGTTACAACAGGATATTGCGAAATTCCAACGGGAATGGGAGTTAGCGGGAAAAAACATTTGTATGAAAAAATCTAAACCGCGTAAGATAGATGAAGGGGGTAAAACAGGATCCACGCGTACGAAGTCGCGGGCGGCCGCTAGTTCATAATAAATTAGTCGTTGTTCATAATAGTATAATGTAAATTTTAAACAAACGCCTTCATAGTCAAGTCGCAAATGACTTTACGAGGGAAAACAAATGATGACTGTTTCATTCATTAGAAATCCAGAAAATTATTTCAAATTATGTTAACACAGTCAAATGACCGTTGCAGTCTTCTTATTTCAAAGTTAAATTGCTTACGTCACTCCCTGACTGTTTAACCTTCAAGCGGGCGCGCGGTCTTTTGTAACGGCAGCGGTCGCGCGTAAACGAAAAGACCTATAGGGTCTAGTAAATAAATAAAGCACTTATTTTCCAATAATCATTTATTATTTTGTACGCGGATATATTATGATTGTATTTAAGTCTTAAGTAATTTGAATTAAGTTAAAGAAACAATTATTAAATCAATTAACATAACGAAAATATTATTTGGATCAAAAACTAATTTTTGTACACAAAATCTTTTAAATTACCTCAGAATAGTTCATATACCTGGTAAAAACGATAAAAATGGCAAAATAATGATAAAACATAATTTTATAATTTTGGCTTAGTTTAGCTTGGTCTCTGAGCTCCGATTCACTCTCTTTTTCATCTTTTCATAATAATGTCTCTGTTATTTCACTTTGTACTAGCAGTGTACGACTTATTTAATAAGAAAAAACAGAATTGCAAACTTAATTCAATAATTTGAAAATTATAAATAACTTGAAAAAATCTAGGTATACTTAACATTGATGAAACAAACGCTGGCTGTAACAGCGTATTACACTTGAAAATTTCGACGGGTTCATCCAGTGTCTAAGTAGCTCAGTTGGAAGAGCAGTCGCCCGGCAAGCGGAAGGTCGTGGGTTCAATTCCCGCCTTAGGCAGTTCGATTTTTTCAAGTTATTTATAATTTTCAAATTAGTTTGAGATGCGACTCTAAACGCTAAAAATTTAATAAATAATTCAATAATATTGGGTGATAGCCGAAGAAATGTTATACCGCATAGAGAGTCGCGCGTAACCTTTTCGACGACAGGCGCGCGGCGTGCTTTCGACGCCGGTGCCGCGTCTAAAACAATAGCAAGCCATGGGGTGGGAAAAGCGCGGAGAGCTGAGGTAAGCTCTTTATTTCACTCACAATGAGCAAGCGACAGGCTACTAAAAATGAGAAATATGTGTAACAAACAAGTAAAAAAAAAGTTATGAACGAAAATGTGTTAGGCGCGGTCGATTCGACGCCGCGCGCCCGCTTGAAGGTTAAAAGAAAAATTAACAAAACACGATCTATTATTTCGCTAATCGACGTCAGCGCCCAAAATGGCGACGCACAAAAAGTTTAATCGAAATATTTTTTGAAACAACGAGACCCAACACAATGGGGCTTTCCTCGAAATTGTTAAGAGTAATTAAAAATTAATTACAGAACGCGGTTGTTAGCTATAGCTATATCTATCGCTTAACTTAGTCAGTGACTGAGGTTATGGGAGCGGAGGGTGTTTTGGAACGTCAAACGTCAGTGAAACTTCAAATGTGCTTTAGATTTGTTTGCCCTGTCACGTCATAAATGTCAATTACGCTCTCATACCTACCTCAGGTAGTGAGTTATGCAGTATACCTATAATAGTACAAGGCACGTTAAGCTAAACACTGTAGTCTCTTATGTAATTGTTATAAAGATGGTTTTGCAATAAATCTTTATAATACACTAATGTGCTGTAGTTCGAAAAGCAATGTTGCTAAGGCAGTTCGATGCTAAGGTTACAGCTAAAATTATTTTTGTAATTAATAGTTTCTTCAATTTATGGAAAATAATTGCCAGCGTCTCAAGGTTTTTGAATAAAAATTAATAATTTGAAAGCAAAACCTTTTGAAGGATTTTACTTTCCGCAAACAATAACTTAAATTTGAACGAACTAAGAACTATTCATACTTACAATTTCTTCACAAAATCATGTTAAAAAGAAAACTTAAACGCTCATTATGAGATTACGATTATTATTTGATTACAAGCTTTTAACTTGTACTGTTC